GGATATGGTTGAAATTTGAGCAAAATTCATTTATAGCCCCTCTGGCCAAACTTATAATATCCGATAGCAAAAAATTATAATATACATTTTATAGCCCAAAAATAATTCTAGCGGCTAGCCACCGAAATTAACAAACTGGAGTTTGTCGGAATGGACAGCAGCTGCCTACCGATATTGACAAACAAAGGATTTAACTATGTCCTTTCTCTTTTCCCTGTTTTCTCATCAATTGGAGTAAGAAAAATTTATAAGAAAAAACATGTTTTTCTTCAACAAATTTTCTATTTTTTCCCAAAAATTTCAAATATCCCACAAAATAAGAATGATCAACAAGATGATCGGAGCAGAAGGGGGTGGAAGACGTAGTTTTATTTGAGGATTATAAAGATATTTTCTTTATTGGTTATAGGTAAAATCTTGCAGAAAAATATCTTGAGGTTTTATGAATTTTCTGGTGAAATCTTAAGGCTTGTTCTGCTTTTCAGTGAAACAAGTAGTTGTGGAGTTCTATTTTTAAGAATTTTGCTCTTTTTATTTGTTTGTTTAACCATGAAGCACGGCAATTTGCCAGAGGACACGTATAACCATTTACATTATTTTTCATTTGCAAGAATTTTGGGTTTTAGTGTCAATAAATAATACTCCCACCGAAAACATTGGAAGTATGAGTTAAGGAGAATTACATCAATCACCAATGTTGCCAATTGGCAAATTTTGTGAGGGACCATACAATTATTTTCATTATTTTCTTGACAAACTATAATCTTTTTTGGCTTTCATGGTTTCATCAAATTAGAAAGAAAAGGAAATTTATGAAAAGAAGATATAATTCTGGTTATAACTTTTAAATTCATATATCAATTGGTCATTTGATTTTTCAATTATGTCTTGGTAAGTGGTAGTGTACAAGGCAGGAATATGGTGGAAGGTATATACAAAATAGACTGTCACTTACAAAAAAATATACAAAATAGACTATCATTGTACAATTTATATACAATAGATTGTCACTATACAAAATATATGCAAAAAATATACTAAATAGACTGTCACTATACAAAATATATACTAAATAAACTGTCAGTATACAATTTATATACAATAGACTGTGACTATACAAAATAGATTGTCATTATACAAAAAATATACTAAATAGATTGTCACTATACAAAATATATACAAAATAGACTGTTACTATACAGAAAATATACAAAATAGACATTTCGGGCTATTAGATGTCTCATGTCAATAGAGAAAAATATGGGCTATTAAAATTTTGAAGGGCTAAAGAGGGTCATTTTCTCAGTTGAAAACATATAAATGAAACAATATACAAAAATTGAGGAAGATTGGAGGTGATTTGGGCTAGTTTAGAGTCAAAGTTCGTAGTTGAAATCGAGTTTAAAAATTTCTCTGCGACACATGTATCTTATAGGATTCATAGAGTGGAGTTTCCCTTTAAGGTTGGATTCCACAGATCTAATCGGCGGAAAGAAGCACTGGCTAATACTTTAATGGAGATGGGGCCTACAGGGCAATCAGATAGCAGATTCCCCTTTACTGTCTTCAATGTCTTGACTTTAGGAATGATTGACTGTAAGAGAAGGATAGAGACTTTCCTAAGAAGGTCTTATGTATTCTTAAAAGTCTTTATTGTTTTTTTACCGTCTTGCTTAGGAAAGACACATCTCCGTCCAGACAAGATCCTTAGATGATCCTTTCTGTACCGTATGTCCTGTCTTGAAGAACGTCTTCCCCGGTCCGAGACAGGTCAACAATCNTAAGAGAAGTATCTGAGATGTATCCAATCTATTTTTACAACACTCTGCTCGAAATGAATGTTATTTTGGAGAACTCAAAATTTTAAATTCAACCTTAAATGAGCCTCAATGGCGCAACCAATGGAGGGTTATAAAATAAGTTGTTACCATGATCACGTGGAGTTTTATAAAAAAAATGTATTACAATCTTTCATGCTCTTAATCTTGAGGCGATGAATCTTCTTTCATTGCAAACTTTAATCACAAGTTGATCCTAATTGACTTGTATTTATATGCACATTCATTGATTGCTTAACTTCGTATGTGCTTTAGTTACTGTGAGAGGAAAGTGTAATCCCAAATAACCTCTTTTTGGCATTTGCTGTGCGCGAACCAGGAATTATTATTTGAATGAAAACTTATGACTCAAAAGAAAATCTCTACCAATTAGAGTTTTAAGCTAGTTTTCTCCTGCAAGCTCAAAACGCACAATCTACATCCCCTGCTCCGATGATTAAGAATTTGATTTTCAATTTATTTAAAAATTAGATGCATTGAACAGTACAAACCAATTTATTTTGCAATCTACATCCTTATATTTTTCAGTGCTAATATTTTAGGTATGGGGGGGCAGCTAACGGAACAATGAAGAGCTGGTTGAAAGTGGTTTTGTTCTTTTTCTGCCAATACGTGAGCGGGAAAGAGGAAAGAGGGAGAGACTGTACAACGGGACGGGACGGAACGGGACGGTTCACGGGCCAAAATTAATTATTTAAGCATTAAGTTTGGCAATAGCTAGTTTTTTTATAATGACTACGATTTTAAAGTTTGCAACGGCTAGTTTTTTGACTTATTTAATAAACTTAAAACTTAATAAATGATTAAAAAAACTAAGTAAAGAATTATAAAATATTAAAAAAAAGATTTGTAATAAAATATTTTAGTAATTGTAATAGAGTTATATTTTATTTAATATAATTTCAAGCCATTAAGTAACTAAGTAAGAGTGTAAGACAATTCATAAAAAGAATTCAAGGCTTAGAATCTTTTATTTTATTAATAGAACTTTAAAATTTCACATACAAATATAATTCTTTTGAAGAGCACCTAATCTACGCAGCCACTTTCTAGGAAGGGTTCTGTTTGAACTAGTAGCCAATTACAAATCATCATACTAATATTTGTAAGCTTCTATATAGTTTCGTTGTAACTTATCTATAATTTCTCTCAGACATTGTTCTGGAATTGGCAATGTTGATTGATGTTCCATGAGTTCCATGCCGTCATCGCTCCCAGTGCTAAGTATCTCATTGTATTCTTCTTCTTCCTTAGTGGTTAATTTTTCAAAAACAAGATTTCTTCTTTCTGAATTAATCCAATCGCTGAATAATACGAAAATCTCTAGGCTGTCATCCGCTAATGAATGTCTATGATCTCCGATTTGAAATCTTGCCACGCTAAAAGCACTCTCTGATACTACTGATGATGCTTGAATGGTCAGAATATCTCGGGCCATTATTGAAAGTGTTGGAAAAGCCTTGTCACACTCCCTCCAGCATGCCAAAAGTTGTTTGTTGCCTTCTTCATCTTTAATACTTTACAAACCTTGATTAAGATAAGAATCAAGTTCATCACCAATAGAGGAATCAAAACATATTATATCATACATACCTTCCTATAGAACTTCTACTCTAGCCATAGAAGTAGAAGGAGCAGTTTCACTACTTGTTGTTTCCATAGATTTATATTTATCAAATATTGATCTAGCATAAGAATATATGTTAACTTGACAGGCTTCGAGAGATGGTTGTTCATTTTCTTGAATTGCTAAATTCTCATAAATTTTACGAACAAGTCCCTTTAAACCTCCCGTCCCACCACTTTTGGTATGTACAAATTGTTACTTACATTTTTCACATATAGCACGTTCATTGACTTTATCATGTTTAAAAAATTTCTACACAAATGATATTTTGGTACGTTCAACCTTACGCCTATCTCTTACAGGAGATACAGGGGGTAAAGCTCCAGACCGAGATTGACTCTGAGTTGGAGCTTGTGTTGCGGGACTAGTGGGTGTTTCATCGAATTCTTCTTCCTCAGTTTCTTCATCCTCATTTTCTTCGTCCTCAATAAAAATATCATTGCCAAATTGTCTTTGTAAAGTTTCATGATCTAGTTGTTCTCCGAAATTAATATTATAACATGCGGGGTTGGAAAAATAAAATTTCATCAACATGAGTCATTTCATCTATATGTTTTCTAATTCTAGGAGAGGGATTAGGATTAGGACTAGGATAAGGATTACTACTACTATCACATTTACTACTTTTTTAAAACATGCTAAATACATTTTTAGGAGCCATAATTTAAATACGAAATTAAATTTAAAAAGTTAACATAAAAATTAAACACATAAATGAAATACGAAAATAGAACCCGTAAAGTAAACACAAAAATTAAAGTACTAAAATGATACGCAAAAATTATATATTAAAATTAGGAGATGGAACGAGTGCACCATGATTAAATATTGAAACTTGAAGAAATTGTTCCAAATACTTGACGAATTAATTTGAAGCTTGAAAGTTGCTCCAAAAATTTGCCTAAATACTTGAAACTTATTTTGATTGTGAGAAAATAGAGAGAATAATATAGAGAGAATGTAAGAGATTTGAGAAAGAATGATTGATTTTTGTAGGAAAAAATGAAGAAGGATGGGGTATTTATAGTTAAAAATAGAGCCAAAGTGTAATTTAAAAAACATAAGGGTTAAATTAAATTTTAGGGGGTAGGGGTGTTTTTTTTGGGGGGTGCGGGGCAAATATGGCCGTTTATAGCGGTTAGCCAACGGCTCTATTTAAAAAAAAAAAATAACACGCGGGACAGACAGGATAAACGGGACGAAATGATCATCCTGTCCCATCCTGTGTACCGTTTAATATGGGATAAATGTGACGGGACAGCCTTAGAGAGAGGTAGACTAAAGTGAGGAAAAAGTATGCAAATAGCTAATTGGGCTAATATTGGTAGCATTTGACATTCTCCACTGATGTTCAAGTACTTCTTTCTTCAGACATTTCCTTGAGCTAATTTGCTTTGAATTGAATTCAAAAAAAAAAGGGGGGGGGGGGGGGTGTGCATTGCTTCAATCAAATACGAATTTTCTGGTTAAAACTTTAAAAGAGAGAAAAGACATTGATAGGCATCAAGCAAGACCATCAAAAGAGGCATAAGGGAGTAGACAATGGCAAGATATACTAAAGCAAAACACCTACTCCTGACTGCTGAAAGTGATTTACAAACTTCAGTCTCAATTCTCTTCCTGATAGCACAATATCTTTCAACCAAAATAATCTCACATATTTCACTAACTTACTATGATCTAGAAATGAATGAGGAAATGTTTAAGAGAGCTCCCCCAGGATCCTAATAAAGTTAATCATCTTCTGCTATAGTGCACATGGCAATGCTCATGATAAAACTTGCATTTTTCAGCTGTCTTCATTTGGTGCTCCAACCAAAAACTAATTCTCAGGCTGCAAAATTGAACGATGACGGCTACTCGTTACTTTTTTCCTGACTATTCTTTTTCTTCGAGCCGTAGGATCTGTTGTTTCGCCCTCAGGAGACTAGTCAGTTTGATCCCAAGAAGCCCAAGCTCGAAAACAATGGCAATTCTAGGATGTGAACCTTTCTGAAGAAGGCTGATCAAGACCCTCGGTGGGTCGACTACAAGCCTTCAAGAGATCATCTGAATGGGCCAGTGGATCCACCTCTATACCAAGCCAAGCTAGCCTTGATGCCTCTCCTACTTGAACATTCAAGACCCTGCATACATTTAACTGATTATTAAGCAGGAAAAAATCGAATCATCTCCAAATCTACAGACATCGTATCCTTTATCCACCAGTTCTTAGGATAACAGAAAATACATTTCAATAATTAAAGCTAATCTAGTTCTACTGGACACTTAAATTGTGCAGACCGTACAAACGTTAAGCACTATGAGAAGCATCAACAAATACTACAAGTGCAAATCATAAACAGCAATGTCATTTTGGCAATTGCATTACTATTATTACTTTAAAAGGGGAAAGGGTCAAATTTGAGCCTGTACTATAAAAAAATGAGCAACTTTGTACTCCGTTAAACTTTTGGTCCAATATAATCCAACGTCGAAAGTAAAAGTATCATTGTGTGCCCTTGGCTTCCAACTCAGCACAGCCTGGGGGTAGTTTTAAACCATACTTAAAAGCCCATAGCAAAAATATGCTTCAAAAACGGCTTTGAATATATGGTCAGGAGGATACTGGGCTATGGAAGGAAGTTATTGATGCTAAATATGGCGTACAAAATCACCCATATGCTAAAAAAAATAGCATCCCCTTATGGTGTAGGGCCTTGGAAAAGTATCAGCAGAGTTTAAATAACAACTACTACTACACGCCTCAATCCCAAACAAGTTGGGGTCAGCTATATGAATCTTCACTGCCATGTTTCTCCATCTAAGCCCAACTCATATCATCATCATACCAAATAAAAGAGAGTGATGCACAAGTTTAATACATATAAAAATAGTAGAATAATAATCAAAGAAAAGCAACTGAACCAAATCAAGGTGATTGGCTTAATGTGTCTAAGAGTTATACTAAAGGCTTGTTTCATCCATGTTCTGAAATTTTGAGAAAGCCATAAGGCCTCCATGGCTGAAACAAGCTCTCCCCAGCTTCAAGCTGCGGGAGAGTTATCCAAAAACCCTACTTATGCAACCCGATTGCATGCTAAACCATATACCCCACCCACTAGCCAAAACGAATTTGAAACGGATTGAAAGTCTCCATGATGAACCAACAATTAAATTTACTGCAGAAAACTTGATGCTTTTTCCATGGAATGCTTTTTCGGGTGGAAGAGGGATTACACCAAGCAATTGTTATGAAGTTTTCTCCTGGAAAACCGGATTTACATGTGCTTCGCAAGTTGATTCCAGTGCAATTGAGCATTAAGGGACAGTGCAATATCCGACAATTTGAATTCCAGCACCTCTTGCTAAGGTTTGATCTCTATGATGATTATGTTCAAGTTCTGTCAAGATCCTTTAGATATATATTCATGTGAATGGGGAGCACATCGATTTAGATTACTTTCATGGCCTCTACTCTTTAATCCGAAGGAGGAGACTTCAAGAGCATCTGTGTGGATTTCGTTTCCCGATCTGCCGCCAAATTTGTCTGCCAAGAAAGCACTGTTACCTATCGCCTCTGCTGCAGGTAAACCATTAGCTGTAGATAAAGCTACTCCAGAAAGGTCGAGGCCAAGCACAGCAACGGTTAAGGTAGTTCTCGATCTTCTTGACAAGCAACCAAAGCAGATTAGATTACTTCATGTGGATGAGAAATCTGGGAAAACTATTGAACATTACCAGGAGATTGTTTACGATAACCTTCCTAAGTATTGCAACTATTGTAAACGACAGGGACATGATGAAAATAATTGCCCTTTGATCTTAAAGATATCTAACGACAATGATCAATAGATTCTGTGATGATCGACAACATTGATGAATCACAGGTGGAAAAGTTTCAAGGTGATTCACGGAATATGTTGAAGGAAAAGAGGAGGTAACTGGCGGGTTTAATAAAGAGAAACCTATTGATGATAATCCTACTGGGCAGAAACAAAGTTCTCTGGAGGCTGGACATACAAATAATATGGATTTAGCATTGGTTCCCAGCTCTTCGAAAGTTCAGAATTTGCACAAAGAGCTTCAAGTAGGCTGCAGTCGATGCCTCAAAATCTGGGAACGGTCAGGTTTTATCTAGTCCTTGTCGTGAAACTAGTAAGGATGGATCAAAAAGGCATCGTAATGATCAACAAGAAAATAATTTTGTGCAGCAAGTTGAAAACTCAAGTAGTGTTGACACTTCAATGAGACGTGAATTTAAAGACTTGGGCAAGGGTGTAGAGACAAATAATGAGGAAGGTTGGACTGCTGTATCAGGGAAAAAAACTGCAGGAATTCATATTGGCTCTCCAACTCGCATTAATGTGCAGCAAACAGTGGATATGCCAAGTGATCGAGCTCAGACTTTGTTGGTCCAAATTCTTATGATGTTTTGATAGCACCTCCTGGTGATGAGACTGTTTCTGGTGGGAATACAGAGCTTCAGGTGGTGCATGGTGTAGCTGGGCAGCGAACAAATGATGAAAATAATAAGGGAGAATGTCACGGGCCCGAATCCTCACATTGGGTAGCGGCACCTGCTCGCCCGTGCGGCGCCCGCGGACTCCCCTTCGGC